GTTATTACTAATAAGCACAATTACAAGCGCACCAAGCTATGAGCGCAGGGGCGGCCAATGAGATGAGAGAAAAGATACAACAAAAGATAACACAAAACTTACAACAGTGTTCAGAATACCAACTTTATCTTATCTCCAAAGATACAACAATATTAGAGATAACACAGGGTTCAGAATACCGCCCCAGGATCGACAAAACTGGTAAAGAATTCTTTTTTTTCAGGAGCTGTTTTGTTCAGTATCAATAAAAATGTTTTTTGAATTCGTAAAATCTCACGTCTTTCTTACACAAATTATTTAAAACGCCTAAATAAAATGTTTGTGGATAATATGTTTGTGTTAAATTTGATGTTTTGTCACAGCTTGCCCGAAGCTCAGGCAAATAACCATTCCTGAAACTGCACAAGAATACGCTTTTCTCTGCCAGTGTTCTTTAAGCCACCCCTCCCCAAAGGAATTCGTGCCCTTGATATTACCGTTGTACAGTACTTTGAAGGCGATACGCTTCGTGATTTTTTGCTTCAAGATAAATATGACGGGAACTTCAGATACTTCACGTGGCTGAAGAGAGAACGGCATCCGATGTGTCGTCATGTGGAAGAAAGCACATTCTTCAAGTTCCTAAAGAAATCAGAGATAACCATCAATTAACACCCTACGAAATTATCAATTATCCATAGCATTCCTCCCGGTCCTCAGCGGAAAAAGATCCCATGTGGCCATGCCTTGAACCATAATTCATGGCCGTACAGAGGAATTTTTTATGTTGGGGACCGGGGGAAATTCAATGAATTATTGATAATTTATTGCATTTTCTTTGTTTTGTTTTTATTTGTGGGGGCTGCCCCCTAACCTAACCCTCGCTGTGTACAGTCATGATTCATTGGCAAAGCAATGGCCTCGTAACTGTGAGGCCCCAGGATAAAAATATATATATTAGGCTCTACCGAATAAGAAACGGACGATTTGTTTGTCAGGCTAATTTAACTTCGGGGAAACTACAGCATCAAATATATTGAGATTCTTACCTGTGTTGACACTTCGTCTTCGTTTTCCAGATGTCTGACAAATAGGGGTCCTTGTCCCCAATATACACAGTACTGCTCACCAGGAAAGGCTACCTTGTAGTCTTGTATGGTATCCTGCAAATGGTTGAATATATATGGATCCATATTGACACAATGATGATGAAAATAATAGTAATAACAATAACAAATAGTTGCAATTATTGCAATAATGCTGTTCTTCAAGAGGGCACTGCAATGTACTGCAGCAATTGCAAGGTACCCATATACCCTCTGGCGGCGATGATGGGTGAATCTTTTATGATTGTTTACTTCAAGATGCGAAATGTTTATCGGGTTTGAATATTATATCTGTGATTTGTTTTACATTTGTTGTGACCACGTATCCCCCCCCCCCCTCTGCCCACCTGCCCCCACCGTCCGTCCACGAACCCCTCTACTCAGAAAACGTTGCACAAAAAGTATTGACATATCGTAACCACTAAAAGACCGGAGACACAAACAGAAAGTTATTTCAATGAAGTTAATGAACATAAACATGTAATATAAGTTGCATGGACTTACTTAAGCGTTGGTCACATCCCACCGTGCGTGTTTTCAGTCCGTACGGTTTTTGGGGAGGCCACGGCCGCCACGTTTTTCTGAAAACGTAGGGAGGGAGTGGCAAAGGCAGGTAGGGAGTACCGGCAACGCGCGTCACACGCACTTTGTAAGTACGTGGCCCGCACGCCACGCCTGGCCGTGAACGGTTGCGTGCATCGTACGTTCCGCACGTGGTAAGTGCGTTGTACGTGCTTACAACGTGCTTACAACGTACGGTCTCCGTGCGGTTGCCACGTTATCGTACGGAGGTCGTACTTACAAGTGCTGCTCACGTACGGTGTCCTTACTCACTCGCATGTTGTAAGTGCGTGCACGTGCGATGAACTCGGTGTTTATATAGGACGACATTCCGATGTTCTCCAGCAGTCCCAGCTGTTGCTGCCTCAAGATGCCGCCCATTCCACCGAAGAGACTATATACTGCATAAATCAGTGTGAACAACGTGCGTCGTAAGTGCTTACTCGGTACGGTCCACGTGAGTTCTGCGTGCTCATTTGATAGCTGAACTGGGGAAGTGGCGAGTAAGCACGGACCACGCACTTATCACGTGCGCCTTTAAAAGACGCACGGAGTCAGTGCGTTGTGCGCTCGTTGGCAGTACCGGGCACGCACGTCACACGCACTGGGGTGAATCGGTAGCCCGAACGCAGCCCGAACGCAGCGAAAGTTCCTCTTGCACTAAAAGTGCTACGGTGTGTCTGCGTGCTCCCAAATCCGTACGGAGGCGGTTCTCATCACGTACGGATACCCAAATTTTGCCTACGTTTTTGCACGTAGACAGCACGCACTTGCAAGTACGGCGGGATGTGACCACCGCATTAAGGATTTCCTGCCCATTTTAACATTTATTTAACTCAAATTCTTTTTCAGCTAAAATTATACCGAACTGTTAATTCATGATAAATCTACCTCTTTCATGCCACAGAAGTCGTCTTTAATATCGAGAAAGATGTAGTTCGTGACGTCTCTGGAGGTAGACAGGGGAACGTATGGCGTACAGATGAGCCGTTTACCGATGAAGTATCTCCTGAAGTATCTCCCGATAGAGGAGATAATCCACCATTCCGAGAAATGGTCTAAGTACAGAGTAAGGTGATTCTTTGCGACTACACACCGAGCAGCTTTGTCAGAAGCAGGAACTATCCTTGAAAATTCATCAGACTCTGTCAAGAAAACAAAAAATAGGGGACCGTGTTAATTTTGTTACGCAGTGAACTGTCATACTATGGGATTTACTTTCACAAATAAAGAAAACAAGTATTTTTTCTGCAAGATTTGCGGGTTTATTGGGGAGCCTTGTTGTAGGGTCATTGTTTACTCATGATCAATGACATAACAAATGTCAATTACTTTTTGGTGATTGACTATTAAAATTTGTATGCATTAAATCATTCTCATAATTCCCTTCGATCTTTCCACAAGAATCTTGAAAATGGCGGCTGTATGAACTGTGCGACTTATAAGTCATTTAAACTCAAAGACTGAAACAGTTTTATTTTTATTTATTAAGCGAATTTCTATTCTAATAGAAGATTATCAAATAAAACTCAGTGAATTAGAACATCCTGAGAGGAACATCAACATTGAAGTGAGTTCATTATGATACCAAGGATAGTATAGGAAGGATTAATTTTGTGTGAAGATCTCTGTCATAATTGCTATGTGTTTGTCGTGGCAGTCAGGGGCTCTCTGCACTGCTACAACATATTTCCCCTTTCCCTTCCGCTTTTCTTTTGTTTGACCAAAGAACATTAACTGATTGAATACACTTAAATTTATTCAGTCAACGCCAATATGTTTGAATACACTGAGAAAGTACTCTAGATCAATTCATCGCGATACCTCTCACACTTTGAAAGTTCAGGTCAAAGCTTGATTACCGACTATAATCAGTGGTAGATATGGACCTGTTACAGAGACTGCACTGTGCGCATCTTCTTCATCGCGCCCGGCTGTGCTATTTTTGTGCAGCAGCTATGCAAGTTGTGTGCATCACTACGCAAGCTCTGTGCAACATTCTTGATCTGTGCATGTCTCGATGCGTTCAAAGTTCTATCACGATGTAATGAACATAATAAAATATGGCATGATGATGGGAACGTACCTTTGCCGGGTAACCATATAAACACATTCGTGGAGAGTGGCAAATTCAGATTTATGTCTTGTCTGACACAGTGGTGCTGTGAACCGTGAATTTTGTGATCTGCAGTCTGGTGACGTATCCACAAGACCACCACATCTCAACAATTTTGATACAAAGAAGAGGGCAACTTTGAGCATAAGCTTATCTTGTGTATATCGATAAGCCTTCAATTCAAAATATACCTAAGAGCGAATTAAAGAAGATTAGACAAAGAGAGGGAAAAAAGAGGAACGGAAGGTAAAGGAATTATGGGATCTATGGTAAAAGAAAGATCTTACCAGTCCTTCGGGTGTATAGCACAATGTCTGCCTTGTCTGGGTTAGTGAAAATAGCGCTATGCGAGATCGTGACTTCCACCGGAGTTTTAAACTGAAGACCAGGAGGGGATAGCTTGAGCCCAACTGAGATGATAACTTCGTCTTTTTCCAGGTTTAAGTCAGGTGGAATGGTTGTCAACGCTTCTGCTGTGATATATGTGGCTTTGTCCAGATCGTCTGGTGAAAGTGAAACCTTGATGCTGTACTCGTCGAGACTTATAATCTTTGTCTCTTCTGTGATACTCTTCCTCGGGGAGCTAGAGCTGTCTTGTGGACTGGTAAGGTATGAATCGCATGATCGGGAGTTTGGGGGCATATAGCTAGGGAGAGCCTTACCACCAGAAGTACTGCGAGGGTAGTTCAAGTGGTCGTCTTTAAACCAAATGGATGGCTTAACGATCATTGCTGCTTCTCTATCCAAAAGATATTTATAGATATCCAGATGGCAGCCATTAAAAGCAAGCCATGAAGGTGTCCATTTATCATTAGAAAGTCTCCTCAGGTCTGCCCCTTTTTTAACAAGATGGTGAACTATTTCAACGCGTCCATAGGACGATGCAATGTGGAGTGCTGTTAACCCGTCTCGATTACAGTTATCAATATTTGCTCCTACGTTCAGTAAGACCTCGACAATACCCAAATGGTCTTCTTCTGCTGCAAGACACAAGGGTGTCATTCCGTTCCTAAGTGCTTTGTCAACCTCTACTCCTCCGTTAACGAGAACTTTGACAATGTCAAGGTGTCCCCCGAATGAAGCCAAACTAAGTGCGGTCCAACCATCGTCAGTGCTCCTATTGAGCTCTGCTCCTTGCCTGGTTAGATATTTCACTTTGTCAATGTTGCCAGTATGTGATGCAGTATGTAGAGCTGTACATCCCCCTTTTTCACACGTGTTAATGTTGGCTCCTACTTTCAAAGGGACTCTGCGATGTAAAGGTGGCCAAAGTCTAGAGCAAGGTGTAGAGGTGTCCAGTTATTATTAGCAAGTCTCTCCAGTTCTGCCCCTTTACTAACAAGGAATTTGACAATATCAAAATGACCCTTGTAGGATGCAATGTGAAGAGCTGTATACCCATCTTTATTACCAATTTCGATGCCTGCCCCTTCGTTCACGATAAACTCGACGACTTCAAGATGGCCTTCTTGAGAAGCATAAGATAAGGGTGTCCTGTCGGTATCGTCACATTTGTCAAGCTGTGCCCCTTCGTTAACGAGAACTTTGATAATGTCAAGGTGTCCCCTAAATGAAGCCAGACTAAGTGCGGTCAAACCATCATCAGTGCTCCTATCCAGCTTTGCTCCATGACTGGTTAGATATTTCACTCCATCAATATTACCAGTTTGTGATGCAGTATGTAGAGCTGTACACCCACCTTTACCACACGTATTAATGTTGGCTCCTTCTGTCAAAAGGTACTCTGCAATGTCAAGATGGCCACCGTCTAATGCAAGGTGTAGAGGTGTCCAGTAATCATTAACAAGTCTCTCCAGCTCTGCCCCTTTACTAACAAGGTATTTTACAATATCAATATGACCATTGAATGATGCTACGTGAAGAGCTGTAAACCCATCTTTGTCGCCAATATCAATATCTGCTCCTTCGTTCACTAACAGCTCTATCACATTAAGATGGCCTTTCTTTGAGCATAAGTGAACCGATGTCTGTAGGTAAGCATCGTCCACATTTACTTTTGCTCCATGATGGGTAAGGCATTTAACTGTTAGCAAATGTCCGTTTTCCGAAGCAATGTGGAGGGCCGTCTTGCCAGATGCATCCAAGCAGTTTACATCAACTCCTACCGAATCCTCTGACTTGTCCTCTGAGTCGATTAATGATTGTATCTTCAGGACGTCTCCTCTTGCTGCTGCTGAAAACAGCGCCATGTTCAACGTAATTCACACCCACAACGTTTTTCTCTCTATGATATTACTGTGCTCTCCAAACACCATGTTACTTATTGTAATGTGACATTGAACCGCTGTGTAAATTAGCCCGTACCCTTTAGTAGCGATGATATTTGGTCTATTCTGAAGGAACACTCAAGCGTGATTATATGAAAGCATTACATAAATTGGACTTTGCATTCATATCCATATTGGGCTTTAGAAGTCCGACTACATTACTGCACAGTCTATTGCAACAATACAGTCCTATTGCCTTGCCTTTTTGCTGTATTTTGGGAGCCTGAAATATATCTGGTTTTAGATCTGCGCGAAAGAAAAAGAACATGGCTGATCAATATTTAATTACGCCTCATTCATAACCATCGCTAGGTAGATCTGCCCCTTCCCTTCCCACGCACCAAACACACACACTCAAACACATCGAATACTAAGAAATATGAGAGAAAACAGGAGAAAGATAAAATGACGAAAGAGACAGAGAATGATAAAGAATACAATCTCTACCATCGCTTTTCTTTAGCACCCTACATGTGTAATGATGTGACCTGCTGATGTAAAGTACTCGCTTCATTTTTCTGGAAGTGGCAGAATATAAACCAAATTTGTCAGTGTATCGCCATCAATTAAGCATTATAAGATGCTCACAGAGTGCTTATTATTCGCCTCTCTCCATGTACATATTCACTTCATCCTCGAACCCTTTGCTCAAAATGTATGACTTTAATTATTCTCATATTGAATACATTCTCAGCATTTTGTTTAATAAAAAAGATGGACTAACATCCTCGCTCTTCAAAATAAGTTCTACATATGAAATAGAGAAAGTTCGATTCATGGGTGGTTCAACTGACAGAAGATGCCAGACCAACAACAGACCGGACACACTATTATGTTGCCCCGAATCGCTAAGAATCGGTCGATTTGAAGTCGGTTTTCGAGGTATGATTAATACCCCAGTGTCACACTGGCAAACCGACTTCGCACTGTCTCCAAAGAGTCCAAACTGACTTATTTTTGGCCTCTGTGGATAATGTTATCGGTTGTCTGGTCTGGTCTGGGTGTTGATGTCTTTGTATTTGATTTGTCGTAGTACGTATTACAAGATAAGGTTCACTTCTATATTACTTTATGGATCTTTTTCGGTGGACTATAAATACTTAAACATCACCTTTATTTTTTTGTTCCATTTAGCAGACAATATTATGGTTCGTGATTGTGATGTCACTATCCTCCAAAGACAAGTGTTCCGATTTTATTATTGTTATAATGATGGATTTTAACAATCTATCCTTTCTTATACTTTTCTTTCCTTAAAGGAAAAAGGATTCAGGGAAAGAAAAAAAAAGATCTCAGATATTTTCTGAGTGTAAGGATAAATATGCAGATATTTTGTTGCAAGAAATACATGGAGTTTAATGTGGGATGGAAGTTTGTCATTTAAGTCATGGTACTTTACACAGTATAGGTGTTCTTGTGTTGATTAATTCACATTTAGATTTGAAGGTTCTTTCTTTAATGTTGGACCAATTTGAGAGATACATTCCGATGAAAGATATTTAACAGGATTTAGAAATTATGATACATTGCAACTGTTTATTTTCCAGCAAGAGGAAAAGGATTACAGAGGCAAGAGTTTTTGCCTGAATTTGAAAATAGGTTTGGATAATACGGGTAGGGAGAATGAGATAAGTATAATAGGAGGATATTTTATTATAATGAGTAATCTGATATCGGTCTCATTTATATGATTGAGATATAAGGTGAGAAAGGATTGGTCACACATGAACATCAACAATTAAATCGGTCTGTGTAGAATAATTTGTAGACCAGTTCGTAATTAGCACATGGTTCAAATCACCTCAAACATCCACAGATATTCAAACTTCTGTACAAAGTAACATAAGACTGCCCATATCAAATTGTATACAAACTGGAGAACTGGATCCGGGAAAGTCGTTGCTGAAGGTTCTTTTGTGGATTAAATACCCGTAACATACCTTTAATTCAGTATTCTTAAAATCAGAAGTTTTCAGAATATCACCCCAACATGTATTGCTTCATGGTATGAAATATATATCTGTTGTAAGTAAATTGCCCCTAGAATGGTCAGAACCTGTGACGCTGATTTGTTTAAAACATTGCCTAGAATCGGTTAATTCTCTAAAACAACCAGCAGCTACCTACATGCAATTTAATTTTAAGAGCGTATACTGATTAGCGTTTACTTTGTTGCCAAATACACACACGCATGATACATGTAATAATCTCAGCAGTTTATTCTTTTTCTGCCAAAATTATTTGTGTATGAAACCCTTGACTGATGAAGCATTGAGAGCTCTACAGAGTGAGTCAGAAAAATTGTCCCACTTTTTAAAAGTTGTATTGTTTGAGGTATGAATATTTAATCGTGGATTTCATGATATGTCTTGATAGAGTTATCCTCCCAGGACATTTAGGTACCATTTTCATTTCAATCTCTGCATGCATGACTGAACATCAGACATTCTTTACACGACTGCCAGATCTCACTTGCGCCAAGTAGCTAAGTGAGGAATAAATAGTGTTTTGAACACAGACTGCCAGACCCAATAAACAAAACACTAAAAAGTAACGTCTTTTGGGAGTGTATTTTAAGTGATTTTAAAGTATGGTGCCCTTTGAACTAAATTTATACGTTATCGACACGGGCTTTCATTTAAAAAAAAGTACTCCTGTTCACGTTTTCATCTAACCTAAAAACCACCAATTTACCACGCGACTGGAGTAACGTGATTCCACTTACCTCTGTAAATCACGTGTTTATGCCAAATAACCACTTGACCAAGCAACGAGTTTTTTGTCCGTTAACCGAGGGTGGTGATAAATAAGTAATTATTCGGTCTTTTAAGCACCTTAATCGATTGGTTTCACAGGTTATCCAAGGTTGATGGTAATAATCACGTTACTTACACCGGCCAGGGGCGTGCGCAGGGGGGGGGGGGGTTTGGGGGTTCAAACTCCCCCCTTTGGTATTTTTATGTGTGTAAACCCCCCTAAAACCCCCCCCCCCCCCCCCCCCCCCCCCTTTGGGTTTTTTTTTTTTTTTTTTTTTTTTTTAATTATTAAAGAAAAAAAAAAGAAAAAAAAAATTATACCCACGGTTAACCTAAAAAAGGTGACCTTACCCCCCCCCCCCCCCAACGAAGAAAAATGTCAAATTTTGAAATTTCGAGACAAAAAAAAAAAAAAGTGTCCGCTTACCCCCCCCCCCCCCCCCCCCCCCCTAAAACTAAAATAATTTCAATAAAATACAACTATATGAAGAAAAAAATCGATTAACTAAATTATGTAAGTCTACTTATTACCAATGCCTTTACATTGGAAATACAGGCGTACCAGTATTGAAGTGTTGTTGCCGTTCAACTGGTTGGAAGTTTTACCAAATGGTTCTAATGGCTCAGCTAGACCAGTTGAATTCTAACTGGTCTGGACCAACTGGATCATTTAGCCCATTTCAATTTCCGGGGTTACCAGTTGGCATTAACTGGTTCATCAACTGGACCAGTTGCAACTAATTTTTTTCTCCTCTGGGATGTTTGCAACCACCCCCGACCCCCCCACCCCCTCTAATCCCAAACTGCTTCCGGCGCACCTGGACGTAATTATGGAAGATCCAAAACACGATGTTCAGAAACGGGATGAGAACGTTATTATTTTGGTTTATTTATTGTGTAACATTTGCGTAATTATTGGGTTGAACGCGGGTTACAGTAATATATTTCCTCTTCGACGTAATATTCACGTGAATTTCACGCAGGTATTTTGACTAAAACTATCACTAACACTTCACGTGTTTCTGTGACGCGATAATTTCGTTTATGAAGATGTAATTTCATAACCCAAAAAACACGGGAGTATTAGGTTTCCAAACCATGGTCTCCGAGGTAGGGATAATCACGTTATTATAATGGTGATATTGCAGTGACAATTGCGTGATTAAGTGTACGTGTGTTTTAAGTGACCTAGTGCAATAAACGTATTAACACATTTATGTAAATGTCCGGTGTTTGAAGAACGTAACTCTCCTCAAGTCGATACCTTGATATTGACGTGATTTTCACGTGATTTTGTTTATTGTGGACAGACAAGGCCCTCCCAAACTGTTACTTTTTGTCGGGAATGCTTCTTGTCGTACGAAAAGTTGAGTGGCCGCTGTCCTCTTGGTGCGTATTGACGTATGTTGTGCTTCATGATGATGATGATGATGATGATGATGATGAAGATTAAGATGATGACAATGATGATGATGATGACATGATGGTGTTATTGGATTTGTACTAAAGGGAAATATTGTCAGGGCTATGCCACTCAAACATTCAGCGATCTTGATAAAAAATCATTGCTTAATCAGAAAAGGGGAGATTATGAAACAATTGTCACGGTGTGTGCTGTATGTGCGTGTGTGCGTGTGCGTGCATGCATGAGTGTTTGCGTGTGCGTGTGTGTTTGTGCGTGTGTGTTGTCTGTCTGTCTGACTGTCTGTTCAACGCACTGTTTTATTCCTCATCCAGTGAGATCTGGCAGTCTTGTAAAGATTGTCTGAAGTTCAGTCATGCATGCAGAGATTCAAATGAAAATGGTACCTAAATGTACTAGGAGGATAACTCTATCAAGACATATCATGAAACCCATGATTAAATATTCATACTTCAAACATTACAACTTTTAAAAAGTAAGACATTTTTGCTGACTCACTCTGTATAGGACCGCGTTCCAGTCAATGCCCTCTTTGAATTACTGGTATTCTAACGTCATTGGGTGTGCAAATATGTAATTTATTTTCAAACTGAGATTCTCACAATATATTCAATTTAATTCGATTCAATTTATTTCAAACACAAATAAAATCACATATCATATAAAATATATAATGTAATATGCTATCCATAAAAAATGGTACGTACGAGTGCCCCATGGAAGAAGGCACTAAGGAGAAAAAC